TCCGCCTCCATCATGTTTAAATGTCAACTCAGCTCTTTTTCACACACATTTCTATTTTCATATGTGAAGCAGTGTGTGTTGGAGTGTTTCCACGAACACAGCAGTTAGAGTTTAAAGTATGGATGTGGGAGGAGGCGTTTCTTTAGTGAAGAAAAAATGTAGTTGTTGTAGTCCTCTATCATCCAGTTTCATTCTCATTGAGACGGGATTTACAGTTCTCTCGCAAATGGTATCAAAGCAAAACCTCCTCCATCCAAGCCTCACATAAAGAACAATGTTAAAACGGCTGAAATTTAAAAAAAGTGGAGGGTATCTTTACACTGTCACCACATAATTATAACATATTCTACAAAGATGAAAATTTTATAGTTTGTATTACTTTTGTATTACTCTGGATATTAGTCCTGAGTTTTATTCCACCACCTAGCTGGGGTCTTTCTATGTGGAGTTTACATGCTCTCCCCATGTTTGGGTGAGTTCTCTCCGGGTACTTGCAGTTAGTGGTGTTAGGCAAGTTGGTCAATCTAAATTGCCCATAGGTCTGAATGTGAATGGTTGTCTGTGAAGGGTGTTAGCCCAGCAACAAACTGGCGACCTGTCGAGGGTGCAGCCTGCCTCTATGGTAGCTGGAAAAGGCTACACTCCCACATGACCCCTAAGGAGAAGAAAATGGATGGATGGATAATCTGGACATTTGTACAGATGGCTCTCGATTTAAAACCCAGCAGTTCTTTGCTCCAACGATATAGATTCTGATATCTTGTGAGAACTGACCTAGCATTAGCATAGACACACTTTAGAAATTATTGCTTTTTTGTTACTATTATTATTATTTTTATGTCAAGGACCAGCATCTTGACTAATTGGTTATGTTTATTATTATTCTTCATCTTCATGATGCCTCCACAGAGTGGACCAGGAGAGCTCAGAGCTTCCCAGTGGTCAGGCTGCCCAGCAGCATCAAACACAGCTGGACTCCATATTTATGGTCTGTACATATACAACAACTATTTTTGTTGGATGAGGAGGCAGGGGTATTTGACAGACCTCTGCCTCCTCTAAACTGCATGACATAATTATATGTCATGCAAATACATGTCAAATGCTGGCTCTGTTTGTAGGGCCCAGTAAACTATTAGCTAAAAATTAGCTTCTTTCTAGCTAATTAGTAAGAATTATAGAAAAAAATATTCCTTGGTGCTTCATGAAATGTCTTCATCAAGTTTTTAAAACAAGTCAAGGTTTGGATTTCATTAGGACTCTGGATATTACACATAATTGAATTGCTTTCTATGAATTTAGCCTTTACTGTGAACAATTGGTTGTAAAACAGAGGTTGCAAAAATGTTCAAGCCAGTGGTTGCATCAGGGTGTAATTAACATGTGGCAGAGGTGAGATATCACATAACCTTGACATTAGCTGAATATCATATCTTTCATTTAAGAGCTCATATTTCCTTATTATATCAACCAATTCACTCGCAAACTGCAGGTTTACTTTTGGTTCCTAAAGTTTCTAACAATAGAATGAGATGAATAATTCTGACGATCCTCTCCTGTTAAATCAGAGACCAGTTTGGTTTCAATAGAAAGACACCTGTCTTTTAAGGCTTCCAACTTTCATTTGTCCTTCTGCTGGATAAACTGGGGTTCTAGTATTGATTCAATAAATACACATATATATTCAAAATATGTGCATATAATAATTCCTATTGATATTTTTGTCTATTGACTCATTTAGGAACTTTAATTAGGAACGCTGAGTGGACTAAGCATCTAACCTTAAATCTACTCTGAAGAAGAAGTTCCAGTGTGTGTTTGAGGGGATCGCTAAAGCAGGAAACCCAACCCTTCTGAATCAGATCTACACAGAGCTCTACATCACAGAGGGAGGGACTGCAGAGGTCAATGAATGAACATGAGGTCAGACAGATTGAAACAGCATCCAGGAAAGCAGACAGACTCTGGAATCATACAATCAGACAATGAAGACATATTTAAAGCCTCACTGAAAGATGAACCAATCAGAACAGTGCTGACAAAGGGAGTGGCTGGCATTGGGAAAACAGTCTTAACACAGAAATACACCCTGCGACTGGGCTGAAGACAAAGCCAACCAGGACATCCAGTTCATATTTCCATTCACTTTCAGAGAGCTGAATGTGCTGAAAGAGGAAAAGTTCAGCTTGGTGGGAACTTGTTCATCACTTCTTTACTGAAACCAAAGAAGCAGGAATCTGCAGCTTTGAAGACTTCCAGGTTGTGTTCATCTTTGATGGTCTGGATGAGTGTCGACTTCCTCTGGACTTCCACAAAACTACAATCCTAACTGACCCTAGAAAGTCCACCTCAGTGGATGTGCTGCTGATAAACCTCATCAGGGGGAAACTGCTTCCCTCTGCTCGCCTCTGGATAACCACACGACCTGCAGCAGCCAATCAGATCCCTCCTGGACGTTTGTGACATGGTGACAGAGGTCAGAGGGTTCACTGACCCACAGAAGGAGGAGTACTTCAGGAAGAGATTCGGAGATGAAGAGCAGGCCAGCAGGATCATCTCCCACATCAAGACATCACGAAGCCTCCACATCATGTGCCACATCCCAGTCTTCTGCTGGATCACTGCTACAGTTCTGGAGGATGTGCTGGAAACCAGAGAGGGAGGACAGCTGCCCAAGACCCTGACTGAGATGTACATCCACTTCCTGGTGGTTCAGGCCAAAGTGAAGAAGATCAAGTATGATGGAGGAGCTGAGACAGATCCACACTGGAGTCCAGAGAGCAGGAAGATGATTGAGTCTCTGGGAAAACTGGCTTTTGATCAGCTGCAGAAAGGAAACCTGATCTTCTATGAATCAGACCTGACAGAGTGTGGCATCGATATCAGAGCAGCCTCAGTGTACTCAGGAGTGTTCACACAGATCTTTAAAGAGGAGAGAGGACTGTACCAGGACAAGGTGTTCTGCTTCATCCATCTGAGTGTTCAGGAGTTTCTGGCTGCTCTTCATGTCCATCTGACCTTCAT